TTTCAAGTTAACAGCAATTTTTTACCTTTTGTTCAACAGAGATAGTCAATTCCACAGCTGAAATTATCCAAATGTTTATAGTGAAGGTTGAGTTTAAAAACATGGTAGAGCACATCCTGTATTACCACATGACATCACAAGATCGAAGAGAAATTTGCAAGATTTGTGTGTTAAACATGTAAATGATACAAAACACAACTCTGGGTATGTTTTTGATGAGGAAACGGCATTATAACAGATCAGAAATGGCCTAATATGAGCCCTTTAAACTTTGAAATAGACAGGTAGCATTGGTCGTATTTACGAGCATTGATTTTTGGGGCGTGCACAGATTTTTCAGTTGTAAAACAGGGTGGACCACCATAGCACAGCACAATCAGTTTAGAGGAAGCGTACTGGAATCTTGTATTTTCAGAAGTGTAAAGGGCCATGTTTGGAGGCTATGTCAATATATAACAATGTGCACACACCAATATGGAGTAGGCCTATTTCAAACTAGGATACGCAGAAAAATATTTTGACTGTATAAAGTAACGTCTGCTGGTTTATATTCCATGTCTTTGGTTACATTGTCGTGTGTAGCTCTCACAGTTTGGAGATACCAGAGAATAGCTCTTCCTCAAAACCCACAGAACTCAAGAACACGTGCTGGTTTGTGACAGATAAAATGGTTCACAATAACATGCAGACCATGTACAATCATCTGATTTTGTCACAGAGTGCAGTGTTTGCAATAAACTGTATGCAAGACAGTACTACTAGTACTGTACTACTATATGTAAAGTGCTGCGTTAGCTTTAAAGGGCCCATTTTAGGCTATTTTCTGAATTATAATGTTGTTTCTTCATCACAAACATACCTGGAGTTGTTGTTTGTTTCATTCACACACATTTAACACACAAACTCTGCATATTCAGGCTGTGTTCTTCTCTCAAACGGAAAACATTCTTCTTCAAAGCTCAAAATTCTCTGTTTCACCTTGTGATGTCGTATGGTAATACAGGAAACGCTCCACTGTGCTACTCCATACATCTTTATTAGAATAAATTGGATGATTTCTGCCCTGGAATTGCCAATCTCTACTGAACAAAAGGTGAAACATAGCTGCTAACTTGAAAACTACCACCACATGACATTAATGTGACAAGTAATTTGATCTTATGGAGATGTAGACAGACTAATAAACCAGGATTACTCAAACGTGTGACTGAAACAAAACACAACTCCAGGTATGTTTTTGAGGAGGTAACAACATTCTAACATGACTTAAACCTCACAAGAGTCAATTTTGAGTAATAAGTACATGTCTGTTTGTGTCTAGTCATGCTGAATCTGTCATATAACCACACTTTGCTCCCTGCTGCTGCACCAAAAATAACCTCATAATCACATCCCAGAGTGAAAATGAGCCCTTTTCCAGTTCCAGTCCTTCTGTATCCGACGAGTGTCTGCCTGGAGTCGCATGAGGAAAACTCCACTCTAAACTGTGTGATTGGAGGCTGTTACAGCCTGTGTTGTCTTTGGGGATCTGTGAAAGGGCAGCGCCGTCTGGACCAAAGCAAACATATTCATCATAGTGACAGATACAGCAATTGTAAAGTGATTTGTGATCACAATTTTCTAGTAAAGGACTTGTCTGTCTGGTTGATTACGCCATTGTTTTTGGTCTCTAAAAGCCAAAGCGAATCCCATTTGTAGTATGTGTTTACTTATCCTTAAGTTTAAAAAAAGGTACAGCTTATTGACAGTGGAGGTAAAGGTGCATTATTTAACTTTTCTGGTGGAGGGTCTGCAAACTGCTTGCCTCCATAGAGAAGTGATTGCCTTCGCTTGAATGTTCCACAGTATGGTATTAAACATCTGTCTCCATGGAGACAAGCCGGTGATGACTCGAGGCCAAGTAACAGGTCAGATTTATAGAAAAGCAAGTGTAAGCCTGACACCTTTACTATAACGACCTATTGTACAATATATGAAAGCTTGAACAATACATTTTCTCATAATTTATCATGCATACATTTTCTTTGTAATAGTTAAACATTTTATTCATTTATTTATTTATTTTGTAATACACTGACATTTGAACTGTAAAAGGTTGAATATGATTTTTTTGGCTAATTATTGACTAATAATTGTACATTATTTGTTGCAGCTCAGGCCTTTTAATGAGACCATCTAAAAATGTTTACTGAGATTATTTTACATTATTGTTATTGTGTCAGTGGCATAAAGTAGTTTCAATATTATCTGCTATATCTCTGTACTAATATATCAAGCTTCAAATTTTATTATAGTGACAGTAAAAAAAACAGTAAAAATGAAAAATAATAATAATTTGTAATTGTATTTTTTTTTTAGCAATAATAACACACATAATTCACTGTCACACTGTGAAACATTACAGGCAAAGCAATAACATAAAAAGATAACCAGAAAAGTTACATAATGCACCTCTAATTGTTGCAGAGGTACTGACAAATGGAGGATCTCTCTCCTAAGTATTCACTCACTGTGCATCTACACAGCAATCTAATTTAGAACCTGAGAAATAATCCAAAAGGAGACTCAATTGTGAAACGTCGGCATCTTTCTTCTTTACAAGTGTTACTTTACTGCCTCTGGGACTCCCTGGATTAATCTCAGCTCCTCTGTTACACAAGCATCAGTTATAGAGTTAGTGTGGTACTGTTTTAAAGTGAGATGATTCAAAATGATGAAACGGTTTTGATATACTACCTGTTCACTTGTTCATCTCATAACTCTTTTGTAGTAGAAGCTGCAGTTTAGCGACTTTGGGCATTTGATGGGTAGGATTTTGAGAGAAAATGAGATTTATAGGGACTGCAGATTGCCAACTACAGCAAATAACAACAGTGATAATAATTTTTTTTTTAAAAGTATAGATTTTTTGTATTACTCCATTGACAATATTTGGATGATATGGCAATCCATCTTAAATAAGATAAAACATTCATTATATATTGTAAACATTCCAGTATATCTTGGTTGAGGTTCTGGTGAATGCAGTGTAAAATTTATCTAAAATATTAAAAAAATATAGAACTATTTTATACCCTGGTTTGAAAGATACTCTGAAAGTTTTTGTTTAAGTTTTGATCAGCTCTTTTGTTAAAACCTTGAAATAATTAGCTGATATAATCATGACCAAGCTGGATTGCTCCCACTGCTTCTTACATTTTACACCATCTGCATTGATGGATGAGTCATTTGCGGGGACTATAAAGTATAACTTAACAAAATTATCTTTCATCATCATCATCATCATCATCTTTATTCTGGACTCATGGTCCATTTTAAAAACAGACAAGTACAGTGACATTACAAAACAATAAACATTCATGTTTTTAAAAGACAACCATACCAGTGTCTCCACATACTGGACTGATATCTTATTGCACTGAATCTCAGATTTGTGAGTGACATTATTATTTCATTGTCTGATTTGTTCAGTCTGCAGATAAAACTGTACATAAAATTTCTTAGTGCAGCTTGCAAAGTGTTCAATCCTGCAGTAACAAACATTTCAATTGCACTCGTCCATCGTGGCCTCCTCAAAAGCACTCATAAAGCATCATTGTAGGCCAACTACAGTCTTTGCAAACTGGCTTTTTTAGAATTAGTCCAGAGGTGCACACAGTATGTAACTTTTGAACCAAAAAATAGACTTGAAAAAGCAGATTCTTTTTATTTTGGCTGTTTTTATTGCACAGAAAAACACGCCTTTACTCTGAGTGGGCTTGCATCTCCAGAAACCTGACTCTTATTTAGCCTGGATGAGGGCGTCCTCCTGCCTGTTTCCACAGTGATGCTGTTCCTGTGGCTATAATCCTCCACAGTATGACACAGTATGAGTATGGTTTTAACTTTTCTATTTCCATGGAAGTATGGAGATGAAAAACCATCTCTATCTTATCTTTAAATAAAATGAAATATTACATTTATCTCTGTTTAGTGACGTAGACAATGGACATTTGGTCCAGAGTGCCCAGCCTTTTCATTTAATGCTTAGTTCTTTTTTTAGCCTTCTTCATCTTCTCTTCCTGCCCCCTCTCTCTTCTCTGAATGCCCAAAAGTAAATATATGTGGAGCATCATTTGGCACTGGATGCTTTGACCATCTGGTGTACTGTGTGTGTGTGTGTGTGTTGTGTGTGTGCGCACGTGTGTGTGATCATGTCTGTGTGTGCGTCATTGTTTCTGGATGTTGACAGCAGATTAGAATGAAGCTTTTATAAACTCTGCTGTAATGTTCTTGTTGAGTTTGATACAATTGTTTGAAGTGTAACAACTCATTTAGGGATATTTTGTAAGTATCATTTCAGGATTTGTTTCTGTTATAAATCTTGATTAACTGAATGATAAGTTCTGTATATTCTGTCTCCTATTGTACAATCAGTTAATGGTCTTCAATTTCCTGCATAGGTGACATTTTGAGGCCATTTCGTTTGGAATTGTTATTTGATATGAGGACAGCGCTTATTTCTCATCACTCTAAAACCCATGGATATATAATTTGAATAGAAGAGTATGCACATTTCTGCACACTAGGACTGTACTAAAACTGCAGTAACTTTAGTGATGAAGAGTCACTTGGAAAATAATCCCATTTTTCCCACTGTGCACTCGCTACGTCTGGTTATAATGTATTATAACTTTTTCCAGGCGGAGAGAAGTGAGAGAATGATGAGAAATTAGGACCATTTCCATAGTTGATAACCAAAATATTAACGATTTAAAAATGAAACTTTATACCTTAAATATATCTCAAAATGTTGCATATAACAGGAAGCTGGTACCCATGAATATGACACATAAAGCTGTGGATGCACTACAAGAAAATCAAAGGGTTTAGGTGTGTGCATTGTGTCACCATGGTAACTGATTCCGCCAACAAGATACAAGTAGAGCACCCCCAGCGTGATGTAACTGCGAAGTATCTATAGGCCTTTTTTATTTATATGCTTCCTGTTTGTCTTACAGATGGAGCACAGGCACAGAAAAAAGGACAGCGCAGTCCCTGCCAGCACCCACCACTTGTTCGTCCACGTCAAGAGCCTGATGAGCGCCAACCTGGGAGAGGAGCTGGAGGTCTTTTTCCACATCTTACGACGGAAGAGAAAACCGACCACTCAGGTGCAGCTCTACACACTCACACCGGAGCTTATAGGAACTTTTCCTACGTTACTGATCTTTGTTATAATGTTGTTTCCTCATCAAAAACATACCTAGAGTTGTGTTTTGTTTCACCGACACAATGTTTAACAGACGGAACATCTGAGCTTGACAGAACTACTGTGGGAATTTTCAGACAAAGCAATGACCATGGAGACTATCAGGTGGCAAACCCTTGATTAGAAAAGTTACAGTGCACCTTTAAAAATAAAAAGTTATTTGATAGTTTTGCAAGGGGATCCATCATCATACACAAATACCGTATTTTCTGGACTATTGAGCACACCCGAATAGAAGCCGCATCAACTAAATTTTAACAAAATTTTAAAACTGCACATATATAGGCCGCAGCTCAATATAAGCTGCAGGTGTCGGGCCGTCTGCTTTTATTGCCTCTCAAAGCTTTTGTCGTCTTTTTGCACTGAGTCAGTTCGTCACGCTGCCATTGACAAAATCTCGTCATTGACTCATTGATGTTGAGTTCATGTGCAGCAGCTCGATTTCCTTCTTCGACAGCCTCATCAATTGTTGTTAACTAAAAAGCTGCATCATCTGCATTTCTTCGCGTGCTTTCCATGAGGAGGGTGTGTGTATAAAACGCAAAATAACTGTTCAAAACACAATCAAATGAAGATCTAAACTATTTGAGTGCACTGACAATATCACGAGCTACTGTAGCAGCTTCACGTTAACCCTAGATCCATGTGTGAATCGCACAGACAGCGGCGCTTTCTGCACTCAGGCCACACGTATCCACTGTGTTGCCAAACCGTAGACCGTATATGTGAATGAACAACGTGCCAAACAAAGAATCCGTCCATGTATTAGCTGCATCATTTTATTAGCCGAAGGGTTCAAAGTGTGAGTAGCGGCTTATAGTCCGGAATTTACCATACATAGAGTTTAGTGTAGCTTTCTGTTTTGACAAGTAATGTTTGCTGTATCACTAAACTGTGAATATCAAATAGATTTACCACTATATCATTGTGACAGTAATTTAATTTGGCTTGGAAATAACATATCCTGAGTTTAATAGACATCTTGAGATGAGTCATGTTTCATTTTATTCTTCATCCTGGTAATTAGTTTCCAGCAGAATCATTCTGAGATGCACTTGATGTACTTTCTCTTTTTGACCTGCTCCTCGTCTCTTTGTGTCGGAGTGCCCTGCATCTTGTAGTTTATAAAAGCCTTTCTCATTTTGCTTCTAAAATTGTTTCCATGGTGAGCAGTACATTGAAGGTCCTATATTACCCAAACTCGAATCCTGAAACATACCTGACTAACAACTTTACATCATGCCTTTGTATACTTGGGCAAAGCACTTCATCCACTTGCCTCTGTAATTGTATTGATACTTTGCAGCTGTTATCAACATTTCCTGGGAGTGTGATGCTAAGTGGAGGCTCTGCTCTGTCTGAAGCTCTGTTAGACTTTATTGTTGTTAATGTTGTAACAGCCTTAAGCCAGCTTTCAGTTAGTCGCTCTCATCATTTTGTTGAATGTGCTGCTTAAATCCATTTGTATTTTTCAGACTATCTTAAAACTTTTTTGGCCGTGTTTGCTAATGTTTACTTTGTGTCTCCATGGTAACATCTGAACATTCAGTCATAAACACACAGACAGAACACCCCCAGTGTGATATCGCTGCAAAGCATCAATATTGAATTTTTGGTTGTAATCAAAGAAACAAGTTCTGGAAAGCCTGTATACTGGGGGTGGATAATATATTGTCTTAGCCTGATTCATCAGCCGGTTTTACTTCGTGGAAATGTCTCACCTTGCAGCATTAGGATTTGTTCGCTCAACGGTAGGCAGGTACTTTTTTATGTAACCAATCGCTGCCATTTGGTCGTGATGTATGTAATGCGCCAAATCCCATAGGAAGAAAGGTTATAACATCTTTCCACTTGATAAAATTCACCAACCATTCTCTTTGTTCCGGCTTGATCTCGGAAATCGTTGCCAACACAGAATGTATGGCTTCGTCTCCATCCATCTCAACTGCTTTGTTTACTGTTGTGCTTTACCACAAAACCCAGACAGGCGCTTGAGTTTGACGTCATGGCTTCACAGCTTTTCGCTGATTGGCCAGTGCGCAGTCTTCAACTTCCAGGGTTCTTGTAAACCATCTAGTGTATTCCAATTTCTTACCTAGTCGCTGGAGAGAAATGAAATCGAGTGCAGGCACTAGGTGGCGCCAGCCTGGCTAATATTGCCTAATCAGGTTTACAAAATGTGAAATTTGAGTATAGAAAATTCTAAGTTGCTTTAGAATTACTAAAAAAGAAATAGTGAATCTTACCATATCATTTTCATGAGTAAAGTGATATCTCTGCACATTTGTGGTAAATTTTACAGTACATTCACTTTGTTGCAGTACTTTAATCTTAACCAAGACATTAACAGGCATATTTTAAAACATTTCTGAAGAATCTCTAAACATATCATTTGATTATTGTTATCATATGAATCCCAGAACATAACTTGATATTGCATTTTGTCAGCACTCCTCTCTATCCCCACACTATTGTCCATTTGCGTCTCCAATTTGTCATCCGAAGCCCGATCCGTTTCTTGGAGTAAATCTGTGGTGGCACTGATCCAAATGTTTGTAAACAGCACCACACACAAATCTCTCCGTTTGCCTGGCAGGGTTCCACAGATCGCCCCTCTGCAGAGCCGGTGCGTGTGTCAGGGACCAGATGGGGGTCCGACCTCTCTGTCTCTGCCTGTGCCAGCGCCAGCCGCCCCTGTTCACTGTGGCAGCTCCTTTGTGTTTAATACAGGCTCCTTCTCTCTCGCACAAACTACAACTGAATACTGTACAGCACTAACAAAGAACCCTGCTGGTATTTTTAGAGAATTGGAGACTTGACTGCCCTCTCCGCGCCCTTTTTTGTCAAACTTACACTTCGCCGCCTCCCTACAGTAACACCAGCCTAACAAGGTCACCCATGGATGAATGGGCACGTGTCTGTGTGGGTGCTGTACATTTTGCAGACGGCATTGTAGAAACTTTAGAGAAACACAGCAATACAGTTGATGTTGGATTTTTCCTCATGTTAACATGACGTAACTTTTCTGATGGCGGGTCTGCCACTTGCTTGTCTCCATGGAGATGTTTTTGCTTTGCCTTGAATGTTCCACAGTATTGCTCTACTTTGCATGTAGTCAGTTATAAATGGTTTATTGGGAATGGGATTGCCTCTACACAGATCTGACTTGTAACTTGGCACAATGGTCACCTGCTTGGATAGTTTAATGCCATACTGTAAAACATTCTAGGCAAAGCAATAATATATCCATGGAGACAAGCAGGCGGTGGATCCTTCACCAGAAATGTTGTTGTATAATAAACCTTAAATACCTTACCTTAAATAAATTTAGCAAAGATTTTATTTTTTTTTTTTCATCAGCCATCCAATAGCTGACTAACTGGATGGTTGATGACTTGAATCTTGCTCCTGGTTAGCATTCTATTTTGTATGTTAATTGTGTCCTTGGGCAAGACACTTATGGTAATAATGGTGATAATGGTGTTCATTAGAGATGGGCATGATTAGTCGATTAATCGATAAGTGATCATTAAGAATTTTGTTGATCACGTTCATTTTTAATCGACAAACTGAATGTAGGTTGCTGTGCATAGCATAAGGAGACGAGGCTGCGTCTGAAAGCACAAACACTGGAGTTGTGGCCTCACAATCCCATGTTTTGGCTCTGGCGCCTCCTTGAAGATCACTGTATCACTTAGTTTACATGCACATCAGTGTCCCGGTTATGATCGTTTTTTTTGAGTATCCCGGTTTTGTCATGGTGCATGTACACACAGTATCCCAGTTACTGCAACATAAATAGCTGCGCTGAACCTGCACACTCCAACGCGATATGCACAGAGCAGAGTCGCCATCAGCGTCATCAACATCCCTGTGTCACAGAGAAAACACTCATATTCCACTGAGTCATGTCCTTTAGTTCGACAGAAGCTGACCACATCAGGGCACAAGGAAAGATCTGTTTTTTTTCCGCTTATAGTTTATGCAAATTAGCCATGTGGTTTTAAGTTCTGTAAAACATAAACAAATGTGCAAAGCTGCATCAAACATTAAATATTATAATCTCAAACCGGCTGATGTGGCTTTATTTATGCAGATGATTAATAGTAGTAATAATATAAAAACTTTGATCGATTCGCTTAAGATCGAATGCCCATCCCTAGTGTTCATATCATTTTTAAATTGCAGAAGATGTTGACTAAGCTATGTTTAGTCAGCTAATAACATTTCCCCATTGTTTTACACTGGATTCTCTGTCTCCGCCCCCTTCTCGTTTTAGCTGGATTTCCAATCATTGGTTTCTTCATAAGTGGGAATAGTGAATCTGCTGAGGAGAGAGAGGTTGTCTATTCATGTTATGTTAATGAGGGCCGTGATAGAGAGAGATAGGGTCCCACTGGGAGACACTGGTCCTCTGAGCTTAGGCAGTCAACAAGCTGCAGAGGGGAGAGAGAGTGAATGAGAGGAGGGCTGAGGATCTGGTAAGGCAGAAGGGGCTGTTAATTTGGCAGTGAGGAACAATATAGATAAGTAATTAGAGTTCCCTGAAACATGCTGAAGTGACACGCCCCATGCACAGGAACCTGCAGTCTCCATATGGCTAAATATAGTAAATTAATTTAAAGGTGCACTATGTACGTTTTCTTGTAGGGTTCAGCTACATGCTTGTCTCCATGGAGATGTTAATGAATTGCTTAAAATGTCTATAACGCTGTGAATTATTAGTATTGCTAATACCATAATACCTTTAAAATCAGAATCTTTACTGTGTGCAAAGTCACCTCTTCGTATATCTGACCTGTAATTTGGCCCTGTAGCATCTCCATAGTAGGTATGTAGGTATTGTACAACTTCATTTTTTATTCCTTTTTTTTTTTTTTTTTTTTTTTTTGTTATTGCAGT